ACTTTCTCTATAAACAGTCGCAAATCATTTAATTAATGGGCGACAGTAGGAATTTATAAAAGTGTACGAAAGTTATACGAGCTTTATAATGAAAGATCATATATTCATAGTGTTATATTTAGGAGAATTCAGAGGATGCTTTGGGTGTGTTTTGTGACCTTTCCAGAGATTTCAACTGTATTCACCATGAGACATTAATCAGGAAGGTACAGTACTATGGTGTCAAGAACACAGAGCTTAAACTTATTATTTCATATTTAAGTAATAGAAAGCAGAAAGTTATTATCAATGGTAAAAGTTCTTCCAGGTCACCTGTACTAATGGGTGTCCCTCAGGGCTCGATTCTCGGCCCATTCCTGTTTCTGGTGTATATTAATGACTTACCTCACCTTGTAGGGGATGTAGTCATGATATAGTATTATTTGCTGATGATACTTCCTTGATTTTTAAACATAAACGTCAATCATTTAAATGTGACGAAGTGAATAATGCTATATCAAAATTAGTGCATTGGTTCAACGTTAATAATCTGCATTTGAACGGAAATAAAACTAATTGTGTTAAATTTACAACAACGAATGTTAAAAATCTGAATACCAATGTGTTCTTAAATGGGGAGGAATTGAGCCCTGTTGTATCCACTGTTTTTCTTGGCATCACTCTCGACGCAAAGCTTCAGTGGGGCCTCCATATATCCAAACTAGCAAGCAGACTAAGTTCTGCAGCCTATGCTGTAAAAAAGATTAGAGGTCTCACTAGTGTCGAGACAGCTAGATTGGTTTATTTCAGTTATTTCCATAGCATAATGTCTTATGGGATTTTGCTATGGGGAAATGCGGCTGATTCTGAAACTATTTTTGTTTTACAGAAGAGGGCCATTAGAGCTATTTACAATCTAAAACCGAGAGAGTCTCTTAGAGATAAATTTAAAGAAATAAAGATATTAACTTTGGCCTCTCAGTATATCTACGAAAATTTAATGTATGTTCACAAAAACAAAGACAGTTTCAGTAAAAAAAGTGATATACATTCTGTAAACACTAGGAACAAACACCAGCTAGTGATGCCAGTTTCTCGACTCCACAGAGTCAGTAATTCATTTTTGGGGCAATGTATACGCTATTACAACAAGGTCCCGGAAAGTGTACAAGTTCTCTCTATTACCAAGTTTAAATGTTTTATTAAGCTGAAACTGTATAAAAAGGGTTATTATAGTATAAATGAATACATGTTTGATAATAACCCCTGGGAATGAGGTGGTCGCTTCCAAGCGGTTTTTAAAATAAATTTTGTAAATAGTTCGTAATCATTTATATTGTAAGATTTATTTAAAAAAAGAGACCCGCAGGGTTTCTTGCTGGTTCTTCCCAGGACAGAGGGTTTTTTTTTCGAACCAATGGTAAAGTAAAAAATGACTTTCAATAAGAATTACAAATGTAATGTATATTGAATAAAAATTATTCTATTCTATTCTATTCTATTCTAGTAGAAATTAGGTTGTATATTTCAGGACGCATCCTCTGCCATCATTTTGGATTGTCCCTGGCTGCTTCGTATTCAACATTTCAATATGAGTATGGCTTTGATTTACGTTGATTATCACCATATTATCTTTGACAATGATATAATTTCGAAGAACGGATAAACGTCTTTGGGTTTACAAATTAGAGCCTTACAACATATTTTCATCTCATACAGTTGACATAAGGATTCAATAATAAAAAAAAAACTTGTCCACAAGATCGACCAAGTGGACATCATCTTAAGATGATGTTATAATTAATGATATAATTACAGACGCCTATGAAGCAACGTACGGGCTACTAATAAATGATAAGCCTGTTGTAAGAGATAACGAAAGAAAATCTGAATCATCAGCCTCTGACATTAATACAATATCCATTAAAGCAACACCTAAAGACAAATCCGAAGCAAAAAAACAACCTCTTAGAAGATCATCCTCATTTGATTTCAAAAGTTTTATGTCACCTTGCGTTCGTAGAAAACTACCATATTCCAAATCTTCAACTGAGTTTTTCGAAGTATCAGATTACGTAGCTGCATTGGAATATGACCCTTATATTCCGCAAAAGGACGTGCAAATTTTTGAAGTAGAAAGTCTAGAATCGATTGATAAGGATAAAGAAGTTCGTTCAGATATTGGTTCTTCGGGTGCTTACTCAACAGAAGACATTCTAGAACTTGACGTACTTGAGGACTCGGGTAAGACGGAGGAAATTTTATACATATCTTTTGGAATCTTAGCATTCTTAGCACCCCCTGCCCCGCCGTTACTATAGTCGCCACTATAGCCAGGAATGCGAGGCCGCCGGAGACTGGGGCCGTCTCTTCGTAACTCTCGTCATGAGGGGATGTTTGCCACAGTTGCCACGCTTGGCGAGCGGGTTAGCAATCGCAGTTTTTTCATTGTAGTACTGTTGTTATCAGGAAGACACTGTTGCCCATCTCCTGCCTATTTCCCACTGTCACCTCTTACGATACCCACGAGAAGACCACTACACGGTATCTCTTAGAATCATTTTCATATATCTAAGAATAGGTTACTTACCCCTACGATAACCTTAAAAACACGCATAAAAATGATGACTAGTTAGGTGGCTTACGTTCATCATCGTTTGAAGCAGTCTCTACAGGAAATTATGATGAGAATAATTAAAAGATGTTGCGATGATTAATGAAGATCCAATCCATCCAATTTGACATTCATTTTTACGTGGTAGAGCCACGCTGCAGCTATATTAATAGTATAGTTGTAGCATGAATGGGTCGGCTCGACCGGGGAAGGACCACGCTCTCACAGAATACCAGCGTAAAATAGCAGCTTAACGCTGCTGTGTTGCGTATGGTGAGTGTAGAGAACCGTAGATCCGTTTTACTGGAAACGAGGCATTCCATCTTAGTCCTCACGGATGACAACGCATCTGCATTTTGATTCGTCATCGAGAATAGATGTAGATGTCTATGGGGTACAGCAACCACTTACCATCAGGTGGACTGTGTGCTCATTTGTCACCCTTATCGTATAAAAAATCATTTGAAACTCTAACCCACAAAAAATATTCTCTATGTAATGATGTAATATTAAAGACATTTACTGTTATCTACTAAAGATATTATATGCATTTTCCAAAGTTAATCCGGGGATTAAAGTAGTTCTTTTTGTATTCATTATTATCCTTGCTTGTCTTACTCGTAGTTCCAGATTTACTTTTTAGCCACGAATCATTGTAGGTCATTTAAGCGCGTGTCACAAATTTCACAGTAACGAAAAACCCAAACCGACAACTGTTGAAAAAGAAAGGTACTCGAGGTGCAGCAACAAGTTCGTACCGGTAAATGAAGTGTAGGGCGACCTCCCACTAGATGGAGTGGCGACCTGGTAAGAGATGCAGAAAGTTGATAAATGCAGGTGGCTTTACAATTTTAAGCTGAAAGCTGGCTTTTAATTTTTAAAGTGTTTGGCAGAAAAAAAAATCTTTATGAGGAACCCTGCATGTCTGAGGAAAAAAATATTTCCAAGATATGGGAAGTCTCTTAACACGCACTGTGGGAGATCAAGAGTAAGTCTACTTCAATCAGCTACGCAAAAATGAAATAATGAATGATTTACTTTTCTCATTGCAGTAACACCGTGCCAACCAAATTGCACTTGCACTCGGTGTTCCAGGATTGGTCCCACTTGCGGTGATCCGGGATACTCCATGGATAAATGCGACAATAAGGAACCGACTAAAGGGCTCTCAAAGTAATTTATACCACAACGTCTGTTTCATACCAACCATGTTTAAATATTTATGTGAAAGAGCCACGCTACATCTATATTACAGCTGCAGCCTGATTGAGTTAACTTGAATCTTTCCCATTCTTTTCCGATTACCGACCTATTGGTAGATTAAAGTTACAGCCTCCCATTTCTGAGAGGCAATGAAATGTCCACCGCGCTGCCCCAATGCGTGTTGGCGAACTTCACATATCTTTGAAATATTTTTTTCTTTATTTCTCAGAAATACCGTTTCCTCACGCTGTTTTCCTTCACCGCCAAACACGTGGAAAATCAGCACTTAAAATTGCAATTAACAATTTCATTGGTGCCAGCGGGTTGCTCGCGTACTGTGAAAATCTCAAATCACACTTATTCCAAATTTATTCGCTTTTTCCTGTCGATTATCATAATACGGCTGCAATGTGACAGCCAGACATCACGTCAGTGATGATCATTCTATTCGATTAAGCATCATCAGTTACTTAAGTGATGAAGTATAACGTAAGTGATTTATTTTTATATAGAATAAGGGTGACAAATAAAATATTCCAACCGATGGTAAGTGGATGTTGTGGCTCATAGACATCTACATCTATCCTCGATTAAAAATCAAAATGCAGATACGTTGTCACCCCTGGAGACTAAGATGGAATGCCTCGACACCAGTAAAAAGGGTCTCCGGTTCTCTACGCTACTATTTTACGCTGGTATTCTGTGAGAGCGTGGTCCTACCCCGATCGAGCTGACCCATTCGTGCTACAACCATAACATTGCTGCAGCGTGACTACCGCGTGAAAATGATGACGTTTAATCGAAAAATATGAGACTAATGGCCAAATAATCAAAAGCTACTCAATTTTAAGATGTCGATAAGTCTCGTGGTATCACAGTTACTTTGACTTAAAGTGATAGAGACAGCACGAGACTGAACGGCATCTTAAAATTGATTAACGTTTGAGTATTTGGGCATTAATAACATAATCGCTGCTTTAAACCCAGAGTTAACAATCGCACGACTTGACGCTCAAACATGGCCGCTTCCATAATTAATTTAAAATACTTCAAGTATCTCCTGTGAAGTTCATCTTGATAGAGATTATTCCTCCACTTAACTACTTCAAGAATGATAGATAATTTATTTAATTATATTCATTTATTTAATATTCATTATGACACCCTTTTTTTATAGGAGGCAAACGAGCATGCGGCTCACCTGATGGTAAGTGACTACCGCCGCCCATGAACAACACCAGGGGAACCAGGGGAATTGCAGATGCGTTGCCGGCCTTTTAAAAAGGAGTAGGCTCTTTTCTAGAAGGTCCCTAAGTCATATCGGTCAGAAAAAATCGCCTTTGTTACAATGGGCGGACTTAATTGTTATGACATTCTGTACCTATCAACCCCGGGAGAAACAGAGAAATAAAGGTGTTAAAAAAAACTGTTAAAAATAACTAAAACTTATACGTACAAAAAAGTCATATACGAGCAATTAGTCCCACGATCTACTGCAGCTCGTGTACAAACTTTAAACAACAAACACTACAGTTGCGTTCAAACCTGACATATATACACCTTACTAACTGTACCATGCCCTCGAAACCGTAAAATAAATGTGTATACTTTGCTCCATATCGACTGATATAGGCACGAGGTTTTCAAGACAAACTCCTAAATACAAAGGGGTTCAACGTTCTCTTCAGTGTAACCTTTAAACTTTTCAGGAATAGTTGTCACTCAGGGCCAGAAGAACATCGCAACAGTAAATGCAAACTGTACTGCGCACTGGCTGGCATGATACTATTGGCTATTTTGATTGTACTGCTTTGCAGTATGCCCCTCTGGGATCGGAGCATGCCAGAGGAGACTTTGAATGAAGTGAAAACAACAGATTCATTGAAATCAAAAAGATTGGTCAAACAAAATAGGTAAGAGAATTTAATAGCTTGGGAGACGGATTTACCTATAGTCCCCACGCTGCGCAGGTAGGTTGTTTTAAAGATCCTTCTCATTGTTTGGATATTTTGTCATACCCCATAGCCAAAAGTCCACTGCTTAATACAGACTTCTCATATACCTTGCCTCATACTATCCACACATAGGATATTTGCAACAGTTGGCAACCGCGTTTTATATTGAAAGCATTTTTTACTTACTTATTTTTTTACTAACTTATAGGTCAGCCACTACAGAGTCTATTTCATCTGATGATGTCTCGTTTAGAACTGCATTTCTTTATGATTTTGTGTTTTTATCAGGAAAAGCGTCGCCCTGATCACCTGTCCATCACCTGATTCAGTTTCCTTCTGTCGCTTCTTCGACATACATGGAATGATATGGTATAGTTGATTATCTTACGCCGACAACCCATTACAGTATCTTATTTTAATAATTTCTTGTTTTTTTTTAATTTTTTTATGAATAAACTAGCTGACCTGGCAAACGTTGTTGTGCCGTATACATTATTTCTAAGAAATATTTTTTAGTTTTATAAATTGCTATTAAAAAACAGGGTTTGATTGTGGAAGGGTGAAAATTTGATGTTTTATGTATTTTTCTATGCTAAATGATAATAAAATAAAAATTAAAAAAAAATTGTAAAAAAATAAAAATATTTAGGCGTGGGTCATCCTTATCATTTAGGGGTTTGAAAAATAGATGTTGGCCGATTCTCAGACCTACCCGATATGCACACAAAATTTCATACATATCGGTTCAGCCGTTTCGGAGGAGTTTGGTAACAAACACCGTGACACGAGAATTTTATATATTAGATATAAAAAAGATTAAAACAATTACTGTTAATTCCGTTAAACGATTACAAATGCTGCAAGATGGCGGCCTGCAGACAAACCATACTTTTCCTTACGGGAATTCCGTACAATGAAAACGGCTTTATATGCGACAATTCATTTGTAATTTGTAAAGTATAAAATAATGTTGCATTATAACCTCAGTTAACCGCAAAACAACCTTGAATTGAATTCTTGGCCTTGTTTTGTGTGATAGTTTCGTACACAGTCCAGCAGTCGGTCAAACTGAATGCTTGCATTTTTGAGGTTTTAGATTTAGCGATAGTGTTTTGACATTGAGCAAGAAAACGAAGCGAGAAAGATCGAAGCATAGATTATACAATTTATGAATAGTTATAATGTTTAACACCGAATATCAATTAGGATTAATAATAGTATCTTTGTGATTAAATACTTATATCGCAGTTTTGTTAGTTTTGTAGTTTTAATGCTTTTTTTTGTTTATTTAGAGTTTTTTACTTATTATAAGCCGGTGCTTGACCACAATCCCACCTGGTGGTAAGTGGTGATGCAGCCCTAGATGGTAAATCGTACAGTCTTAGCGTAACAAAAGACTATTCACTCTTGCCTTGAAGATGGCTTGATTTATTTGTTCATTGTTGTCAACTGTCATATATTATAGTCACTATCTATTGAAAACCATGAGATCTCTCTGGATTCCTATAGTCAGCTCTTATGACGTCCATAGGACACAATGGGGTGAAGAATTTTTACATCACACATATATCTTTATTTTTCTTCCGAGCGTTTAAAGTTTCATATAAATTTTCAGATCATCAGCCGTAGAGTGGCAATGGCAGTGCAGAAACCACTTTTGTCTCAAAACGCACGCATATACGAACGTTACAATGTACAGTTCCCTCAGCCGTTGTACACTTTTATGCATGGGACCGCAGCTGTGGCCCTATCCAATAGGTTACACCCACTTTGGCAAAACAATTATAGCTCTTACTATGACAAATTTAGAGTACAAATTCCAATCAGTACCTTCCGAAGTTGTACATCACTACCTAGCTGAAGCCTTTAAATTGTTTCTAAAAGGTTTATCCAGGTTGGAGAAAATGCATAAGAAATACAAAAATGAAACCGAAGAAACCGATCTGCCTATTAAAAGAATTAGTGTTCAAATGGAAGTTGAGACCGATCCAGATCCAAGGATAAGATTGAACACTGAAGAAGCATATATGCTCAAATTTGAAACTGTAGGTAGCCGCGTTAACATCAAAGTGACCAGCGCTTCCTTCTGTGGTGTTAGACACGGCCTGGAGACATTGAGTCAGTTGATTCTCCTGGATCAGGCGTCGGGCTATCTAATAACATTGTCAGAAATAACAATAAAAGATGCACCAAGTTACAGATACAGAGGCCTGATGTTAGACACTGGAAGAAACTATATACCAGTGTCAGATATAATGAGAACTATAGACGCAATGGCATCGTGTAAACTGAACACGTTTCATTGGAGAATTTCCAGTGATACTAGTTTTCCATTGCAGTTGGCCAAGCTACCATTATTGTTCGAATATGGTGCATATGACAGAAAAATGGTTTACACCAAAGCTAATGTGCAAGCTGTAGTAAGAAAAGCAGGGCTACGTGGCATTAGAGTTCTTATAGAAGTGACTGCACCAGGACCTGTTGGAAGGCCTTGGTCATGGTTACCAGAGGCCACTTGTCCAAGGAAAACTGATAATTACACCTGCGATAATATTCTTTGCACGAGGCTCCTTATGGAGAGTTCAGTTTTTGATAAATTACAAATACTTTATTCGGAAATTCTAGAAATGACTGGAGTCGACGATATTTTCCATCTCAGTGATGGAATGTTCTCGATGACGAATTGCTATCAACTAATAAACGATAGAGATGGGTTTTTGGACAAGACTTTAGAGCGCCTCAAGATGGCTAATAAAGGGTTCTCACCCAAGTTGCCTATTATCTGGTATACGCCCCATTTGATGAAGGATTATGAGGCGAAAACCTGGGAAAGGCTCGGAGTGCAACTGAACGATTTGGATCCAAATCCTGGTGAGCATTATTTGGGCAAATTTAGGGTGATCCATTCGACAAAATGGGATTTGTCTTGTGAGATGAGGAAACAGAGATGCATTAAGTACAGGTACCTCTAATTATAGTTTTACTTAGCCATACTTACTATAATGAGAATATTATTATTATTAACTACATTTCGCAGAACATGGCAGGAGATGTACGCTTGGAAATCATGGCGAAACGTGGAAGTTTTCACAATTGAAGGAGGAGAGGCGGTTCTTTGGACAGACTTAGTGAGCTCAGGTAGAAAAGCCAATCTAAAATGCATATAGCCCTGCGTTATATTAACTTTATAACATTTGAATGACAATCGATCTGACGGTCGCCATTTTTCAATATTATAAGCCAGTGGTTGACTACTGTCCCGTTTGATTGGAAGTAATGATTCAGCCGAAGATGTTAATGCGCACTGACTAAGCTTCATCCATCCATCCATTACAGCCTTTAAAAGTTCACTTACAGTTTGACGACAGAACTATATACCTAAGAGAATGTCATTAACTTACGCAAACGCCTAGGTAAAAAGAATCCTACTATTGTCTAGAGTCATGTGGTCCATATTTAACATCAAAGGTGGCAATAACGTGTTAACGGCATAGTGCAATCCATTACTAGTAGAATTAAAGTATAACCATAGTGTAAGTGATGGTCTGAAACACAGGTAGGTACTCAACCTACCTCAGGCAGGTCGCTAATATTATAAACTTATTTCTTTATTACTTCATTATTAAGCTACACATAGTTTTAATTTTATCATAGCATGTTATTTTTGTTAGACCTATTGTTACTTTATTTAATTGTAATCATATCTGTTTCCTGTATGTAGACGTGAGTTATTGGAAATGAAATTAATTATTTATTATTATTATTTTTACTCCATTTCATAGGCGTCGCAAGAGGCTGGTATGCAAAATGCTAAAAAAAAATCTTATGATATACAAGTAGATAACCATCATCAATACGACAGACGTAAAATACATAGACCAGCAATGAACAACAGCGTCGACGGTACTAGACGCCTGGTACTGCTATCACCAACCCACTAGCCAAGCATGGCAATTATGGATAAATTACAAAGGGGCAGACCAATGTGCACACAGGAGGGGGCTGGGGGCAGTAAGTACTGCCCCGGAGTGTGCTTTAATAAAGCAAAGTGGGAAGGGCTCCGGTTGAACGGAGATCCCGAGACCCTTATAAGCTGATGGTGACCACCGTGGGGGCATAACCATTCTGCACAACTAAAAATAGACCCATGTTCAGTAGTAGAGCCTACTCCTTTTTAAAAAGCCGGCAACGCATCTGCAATTCCCCTGTTTCCCCTGGTGTTGAAGTTGTTCATGGGCGGCGGTAGTCACTTACCATCAGGTGAGACGCATGCTCGTTTGCTCCCTCTACTATAAAAAAAATAAAAAAGTAGACTTTTGCAGGGTGATAAAGATGTTGAATAACTCACTAATAACTAAGACACTTTAACAAATTTTAAAGCAATACTTTTACAGGAAACCTGGACAATCTCTTGTGGCCACGTGCAGCCGCGGTGGCTGAGAGACTGTGGTCTGACATGGTCGCCAATTCGAGCGCCAATCGATTCGTATACATGCGCTTAGATACCCATAGGTTAGACCAGTATTCCATTTTAATATTATGTTAATGAGGCCTCATTAGTCTACAGGTCGTAAACACGATTGTCAATCATGAAATCCTGGGTTCGAATACCGGGTGGAGCCAGAATCAAGAAATTCACAGTAGCAGCCCAGAGTCGGGAAATCGGCAGTGTTTCACCCCCGTGCCTCTGAAAGCATGTAGAGCTGTTGGCCCTGCGCCTGATCTCTCTCCGGTCGTGCCAGATTACCATTACATCGGACTATGAGAGTGAGGGAATAGAGAGTGCACCTGTGCTTGCGCATACACCTGGGCACTATAATCCTGTCCTGCGTTGAGACTGGCCCTCGTAACGAAAATTCAATCTGAAGGACATTACTTTTTACGTGGTAGAGCCATGCTGCAGCTATATTACTGTTATAGTTGTAGCAGGAATAGGTCAGCTCGAACGTGAAAGGACCACGCTCTCACAGAATACTAGCTTAAAACAGCAGCTTAACGCTGCTGTTTCGTAAGGTGAGTGTAGAGAACCGAAGACCCTTTTTATTGGAAACGAGGCATTCCATCTTAGTCCTCGCAGGTGACAACGTATCTGCATTTTTATTCGTAATCGAGAATAGATGTATGTAGATGTCTATGGGCCACAGCAACCACTTACCATCAGGTGGACTGTGTGCTCGTTTGTTACCCTTATTACGTAGCACTATTGTCTTTTTTTTTCTTAAAAAAATATTCTGGGGTATTTATATTAGGTCCTATGAAATTATCGTTTTTTAGAAAATAAATTAACGAATTTTTTTAAATATTTTTATTTCTATTAATCAAAGTTATCACCCATGCAATCGATACATCTTTGCCAACGCAGTGGCTGGACGGGAGGCAACAAATTCTTCAATGGCACTTTGTACTACCTCTCGGGTATTGAACTTTTTTCCCGATAAAAATTATCCAAATTCTGGAAAAATACTGTAGGCGCAAGGTCTTTAGAGTACGGCGGATGACAGAGAGCTTCTAACCCCAGCTCTTGTAACTTGGACACCGACTACTGTGCAGTATGATGTTGCGCGTTGTCGTGCAGGAGCAGCGGGGCCGCAAGCAATTAACCAATGCTGGTTGGAGACGTGCGAGCTTCTCCATCATTGTGTTCAGTTCTTCACAGTATAATATCATGCATAATATCTGCAGTAATGCTCATCCCGTTTGGTAAGAAGCTGTAATTCATCACACCGACACTAGACCACCAAACAATTACCGTCACTTTTCTAGGGGTAGGTTTTCGTTTTGGGCATTGTTTAGGTGCTGTACCAGGATCCAACCAACTTGCTGAGCGCTTGCGATTGTGAAACAGAATCCACAGATAACAGTGCGGTTCAAAATTACTTCGTATGTGTGCCTGTTGAGCAGTCAAGGCACGTCTCGACGCGTATTTCACGCTGATGATAATTGAGTTCGTGGGGCACCCATTTGTCAAGCTTTTTTACATTGCCGATATGGCACAAATGGACCAATATTGCTTTGATGCTCACGTCGAAAGCTGCTGCTAATACAGCCGTAGATTAAGTATCATCAGCTTCCACAATCGCCGTTAATTCAATTCATTGTCGACCAAAGTTATCGGACGACCTCGGGGTCAGGTCGAAATTTCCAGAACGGAAGCGGGCAAACCATTATAACAGGTAATGCGTTCGTTTTTAGTATTTGCTGCGTAAACGTCGTTAATGTTGCATGCCGCTTGTGGCGCGTTGCTGACACGACGGTAGGTACTCATATTTCATAATTACTCTAATTTTCAACATATCCATGATGACGAAAAATATTCAAATGCGTTGAAAACATAACGCTAATCAATAAACAGATGACTAATTTTGAAAAAAGAATTCCATGTTTTTAAAATAAAATTAATTTGAAATTAGAATTCTTAGCCAAACAAAAAATATTTTGATTTGAAATGCAAGTACTGCAAAACGGCAATTTCATAGGTTATTAATAAGGAACAAGTTACCTATTATTAATAAGGATGGAAAAGCTAATGATGAGCTCCAAAATTTTTAAGTCTAGTTTTTGTTATCACAGAACGACTATCGTGCTACAGACACCGTCAGCATCATCATTACAACCTATTAAACATTGAACTGCTGAACAAGGCCTACCAAATAGATTGCCTCATAGGGGGGATATTTACCATAGTTGCCACCATGTTGTTATCAGGAAGATGCTACTGCACATCTCCTGTTTAATTTTCCTTTGACGCCTCATACGAAAGCCAAGGGTATGTACCTACATTGTACACGTAGTGAATTCTCTAACGCCGCCAGTATACGCCGATAATCTTAATGTACCTCTTTTAGTGTACGTCTAATGGTGGACATAGATACCTATCTAACTACCTGGTCAAGTTATGCAGAGGCCGAAGGACGTATTAAAAAAACTCATTGTGAAAGATGTTTATTCGCTACCATTACTCGCTTAAAACTAACTTAAACTCGGAAGTCTCCATTTGTCCACTCAGCGTCTGCATGAGACCTGCATTCAGAACTTTCCGCTCGTCTTGGTGGGTCTCACCATCCCTAATAACTTAAGCTTTTACTGTGTACATATATATCAAGATCTGTAAAAAGAAATAGAAATAGAGTTGATAACAATTTTTTGAGTTATGTTACTTAAATATCATTTTATAAATTTTATGCCGGGTTTACAAGCTTGCCAAGTCTCGGCAAGCATCCACAAGCACAAGCGTGTAAAGAGGGCGTTTGACTTGGCTTGCGTGAGCTTGTGGACGCTTGTCCCTGATCCGGTCTAGTGTCGGTTTTGGAACACAGATCAAAGGGCGCTTGCAGCAAGCGCTTGCGTCGTATTCACACATTGGTGCGCGTTTATTAGAAATTGTGATTTCGCGACGAGCGCATGTTTAGTTCTTTGTTTAAAATGAGTGGCTGGTCGAACGAAGAGAGTTTATCGTTTCTGGAATATTACCAGAGCGAATCGTCTATCTGGAACCCCAAAGACGTTAATCATAAAAATAAAAGGAAAGTTGCAAATGCTTGGAGTCGTCTTGCCGAGTTAAGGGGCTACTCCATGCGAACGACCTTGAGCATTTGACCGCTTGCTACAATATTAATATATTGTAGCGAGCGGCTCGCCGGAAGAAATATGTAAGACGCCACCTATTGTACGAAACTAGTATTATTTTTTCAACATCAATAAACTATTTTATGGAAATACACATAGCGTACAAAGATAAATGTATTTTAATTTTTTTATTCTGTATATATTAGTTGCATTATATTAGAATTATGTATTTTCATATATTATCTAATTATGAAATTTTATAATTAATTATATATTAAAACTGAAGCATTGAAAATTGTGAGTTTAAAAGATACCTATTCACTATAGGTAAATAAATAGATAGCTCGGCTTTTGTACAAATATTTGGTGCAATAAAAAATAAATAAATAAATAGGATGTTTCGCATATGTGTTTTTGATTATTGTTAATTTTTACGTGTCACGTATTGAAAAGTTACCTACTAATTTTTGAACTTATGCTGGCAGATATTATCCTCACCCCAATGATTGATGAGGATGAAAATCAATTTTATTTCTACATACGTAATTATATTTATTTATACATAAGGGTAACTTTAATAAAGGTAATACAAAAATCAACAAGAAGTATAAGGGTTCAATCTTTCAATTTCAGTTGTAAAAAAACGTTACCCCCACACTAGGATTTTCTCCTGTGTCGTGGAGGCAGTTTACAAACATAAATTGCACAAAGACAAACATCCAGACCCGGAACAATTATTTGTAGGCCATACAAATACTTGTTCCATGCGGGATTCGAACCCGCGGCCCCCAGCGCAACAACTGATTGCTAAGCCACTGCGCCACCATGAAGCTAATACAAAGACTAACTTTGTATTTGCTTCATGGTCGCCGGGTTATAGCTAAAGTGACCATACGTCCCGTTTTGAACGGGACTGTCCCTTTTCTCGGTCTCCTGTCCCATTGTCCCCAAACAAAGCTCCGGGACACAAAATTGTCATGTAACTAGTTGGATGGAAGTATTCAAAGTCAACAATCTTCAACATAATTTTTTTTAATCGAATATATTTTATGTCTACCTGGTACGAATGCTCCGGTAGAAAGAGTATTTTTTTATTTTGCATAAATTGTGGACGTCTGAAAGAAACACTTACGGTTCCAGAGTTCTAAAGGCGATGTTGTTAACAAAGATAACAATAAAAAACTTGAGCAGAATTTTATTCTTATTTAAAATCATCACCAACTTTATTAAAGCAAATTTAATCCACTGACAAATGTAATTAATAATTAAAAAAAATATGTTGCATTTAATAATTACCGTCTATACCGAATATAATTTTATAGTGAACACTAATTGTATAAAGTTATAGTTTTTAGAGTATAAATAAACCCATGTCCTGTTTTGAGTTAAAAAATAAATGGTCAGTTTAGTCTTTTTAGTTAAATTTAGTTTTAAAAATTTTTAGTAGTAAAAAGTAGGTATATTAGTACCTACTTAGATACTTTTTACCGAATTATAAGTATAGAACACCTTATGTACTCAATTATTTTTTGAAAAAGAAGAAAAAACAAGCAATAAATAATATACTATATTTTAGCAAAAAACTATAACTTAGTAATACTAATTATAACTTAGAACAAAAATGAAAAACTCATAACTGACCTTTTTCCCGACCCAGGATTCGAACCCGGGACCTCATGATCAGAAGTCGCACTACTACAACCACTAGACCAACGAGGCAGTACTATACCTGATAAGATATTGTGGTTGGGTGATAATATTGAATTAGCCTTTTATAGTGTAAATTATAATATTTGTCGAAATTTTAATTATAGATTCGAACCTTACATGCTAATGGTGCTTCATTTTTTTATTTGCATTTACTTCAAAGAAAATACACGCAAAAAGCTTCATCGCGCAGTAAAAAACACAACAAATATATGTATAACTAATACGAAAAATTATACCCAAAACAAACAAATAATACTACCTATAAATAACCTAATAAGTAATAATATTTATCGACTGATATTACGTGAGTGTATGCGGCGCTGGTCGACGCTCTAACGACACGGGCTTCGCGTCGAAGAGCTCAGGGCTCACTGACTAAGCAAGCCCGTGAGCAGTGAATATGCCCAGATTTTAAAATAATTTCTTAATAAAATCAAATTTTGGTCTTTTGAAAAAAAATTTACTATAGAAATGTTTATTAATAAATTGCCTATCCATTGGTGTAAATCGCAAAATAAAATAATACTTACTTTACGAGGAGATCCATGTTATCAATAACAATTTCACATTTATGTGGTTTCGTTGTAAGGAGATTATATTAATATTTATTCGATTAAAAAAAAATTGGATATAGCTTTTATGGAATCAAGATTATGTAGAAATATAATGTGTTTTTTATTTGTTGATATATCTTATAAATAAAAAGTAGATAGCTTCTAAAAACCGCCCAAATAACGACTGGCGCGACTTTTTGCTCAACCTGCGCCTTAACGGGAAAGCCAGTAAAAGAATTAAAAGCCAAAAAAATTCCTTGTTTTTTGCTAATACTTTGCTTGTATTTCAAATAAAAGTATGTTAAACCAAACACAATAGCCGACACAAGTTCGGTGTCCGCCATGCTTGGGTGTACGTAGCACACTGACGCATTCACAAGCACGAAAACGACTTCCAAACGCCAAACGAGATTTGTGGACGCTTGGACGCCTTGGCAAACGTCTTCAAACATTTGCCAAGGCTTGGCAAGCATGGAAAGGCACCATAAAATATGTTTAATGAGATCAACATCAGCATCAGGTGCCGAGCGATGCCTTATAAAACTGAATAGATTTATGAAGTAATTATTTGAATAAAAAAATCACATTTAATTTAAAATAAGTTTTCAACCACTACTAAATGTTGGCTGTACGGAACGAAGTACCAGTAGAGTGTATATCACCTGAGGATGCCTCGTGTAGAGGCGAAACACGTGTCGTATTATCGTCAGTGGTGTGTCTTGCCTAGTGTAGTGGTGTTGGGAGTAGCGGTGCTGGGATTAGTGGTGACGGGGATAGTGCACGCAATTGAGGGAGGGCGGGAGGTGCTCTTCAAAATAAAATGATGTGTCTTACCTAGTGGTAAGACACATCATTTTATTTTATAACGCTGACATTTGCGAAGTATCCATTATATAAAAGATTTTATATAATGGATTTCCGCAAAGTAACGCCTGATTCTATTAATTATAGTAGATATTCAGAAAAAAAAATAACCTACACACCTACCCTCATCTGGAGTCGTTGGCCACTTCCGTACTTCTTTTAGAAAAGATACTCGTAAACCCAATTTCGATCAAGAGGTTAACTGAAGAACCCAAACCGGCTAAGCAGCGTTCGAGTATTGTATCACGTCTTCTCTTTCTCGTGCGGAATTCCTCAGTATTTTAAAATAATAGTACAACCAGTGCGTGTTGGTAGTGATGACATACGGAACCAAACCAAGGTGTATATTCTTTTTTGCTGTTCGTAAAAGGAAACTCAGTCACTCTCAGCTGAGCTCTATAAGCGTGTTCCATGTCTTTGTCGCCGTACTGCTTATTTGGAGCTTCCATATGAACATTCAAAGATCTTCTTTCTATCGCTCAAGAATAAACTGAGCATCAACTCTTAGTGCTAAAGTCAAAGCCTCTTAGTTACATAATTACTTGCTCCTCACTCTTGTCACTGCTCTTGACAAACATAAAAATCGATAAAACTCGCATAAAAGAAGATATAGCTGATGTGAAGCACGGACGAGCGTCCCCAACGTTACACCAGATATAATAAATCAGATATCCTCGCAAGAGGACACCGATTCCTACGTAAGTAGATTCGTCAGGTTAGTGAAATTAAGAAACATCAAAATTTCAATAAAGTAGATGGCTGCGTGCTGCCATTTATTGCGTAGATCGGACCAAAAATTAATGTGCTGCAGGTGTGATGTGAACCATTTTTCAGTTAATTAGTCATGTTTTGGTGAATCCTGCTGTATTGTGTGGTGATTAACCAATTAACGACAGATGTAACTATCTATAAGGCACAGCACCCACTTACCATCATGTGGAACTTGTGCCCATTTGTTACCTTAACCTTTATAAAAATTACCAATTTTTATTATGGTATTATGAGAATCTGGTGATTTGTAAGTCGGTTAGTACCGTCTGGAAAAGGGAGCTGACACTGCATCCAAATATTTGTCATGTCAAACATACGGCGGATCATTATGATGCGGCACATGATCAGATCTAAATGTAAAAACTAGGCTCAGTGAACTAAGCTAAGCTAAGCTGGAAAATCGTTGTACGTCCACCGAAAAATAAGCTAAAACTTCTTGTACTATTATTTATTCTGTGCTAAAACAAACAACACAAAGCGAACGGCACCAGAGGGGAAAGGTAAGGGGGTGAGAGTCGCTTAGCTCAGTTCGCATAGTTTCGGATCGGCCTACACAACTAAGTTAGTTTGACTTATACTAGAATTATTTTGTCCGTGCAGTTTGGGTCATAAATCATCGGAGTATTTCGCTCTCTCTCCCACTCCCTCCTCTCTCTCAGTCTCTCCCTCTCTTACAGTTTGGCTATTTTACCTAACTTAGCTGCCATATTTTGCGGTGGGCGTATATATATGAAAAACTGGCTCAGCTATACGAGCTAAGACAAACTAAGTTTAGTTTGTGATGGACGTTCGGCTTTATACGACAAAGTTTAGTATATTCGATGATGCATGCCGTTTACTATCTTTTAAATTTCGTGCCTTTATCGTCCGTCCCTTTTTAGACGAATAAGGAACGAATTTATAAGGATTCTTTTTATCATTTCTTTTTGTTTTTTGGCCCAAAAATATTTCTTATTATTATTCTTCATTCTAGGTGGCGTATGCTTTTACGCGGTATAAAAGTGCAACCTATATGGCCGGCTTGGTGCAGTTTAAACCCAAGCGCGTGTCTTGGTAAAATACACAAGTGAATTCCCTGTCGACATGTATTGAAGGCAATTAATAAAACTGAAAAATATTAACGTCTTTTTTTTTTAATAAACAAAACCTCAACAAAACAAACCTCAACGTGAGACCGTGTTACCACACAGCATAGGAGTGTCCATCGCCCGTTCATCGCATCGCATCGGAAGCTAAGGATGAGAGCATTCACGAATTCTTCTGCCACCAGGGCGGCGACACTAGAAAGTGAGTTATAATATTTGACAGATTTCATAGCGGGGAAGTTAATTTGTTCGGAAAATGTAAAAGTTATTGTTTTTTTTTTGTACTATTAGCTATATTTTATATTAATAACATTAAAAATAAATAAACCAAACCACAAACATTTATAAAAGTAGAAAAATTAAAAAAAATGTTAAAAATGTGCAAAAAATTAAAGAGCAAACCACTGACGCATCGTTTTGTGTATTATTATATTATTCTAGAATTAAATTACATTGTGTAACAAAAAACTTTACCTGTCTTTGATTATATATAGTATCAACTAGCGACATCTGGTGAGCAGAAAATTATTAGCCCTGATTAAATGGTGATTTAATTCTCAAAACTTTTGATAGATGGCGTTATAACCATCTCGTTCACGTCAGACGTAAAATATTACGGAAACCCAGACCGACGACGGGCAACAGCTTCAATGGTGCAAGACGGCAGGCACTGCGATCGTCAATCCGCATGCCAGCAGTGACGATTAAAGCAAATCCTGCCTACAACGGTGGAGGCCTTCATCCAGCAGTCCACTAATACGGGCCGATAAAGAAAAACCTGGACGACAGCTTTCGAGTACTGCCGACTGTCAACTGCACAGAACATATATAACCCTAAAGGGGTTAAGGAATCTGGTGTTGAAACTCTGTCACCCATCCTACAGCCCTGACTTAGCTCCTTATGATTTCTTTTTGTTCCCAAGAGTCAAAGAAAAAATGAAAAACAAATTTTTTTCCAGCGCCGAAGAAGCCATGGCTGCCTACGAAGAAACGATTTGCGACCTGTCCGATCAAGACTGGCAAAAGTGTTTTCAGAGTTGGTTTAGGAACTTTGTATAGAGCATGATGGAGAATATTTTGAAAAAATGTAAAATAAATATTAATAGTATCTTGAATACTTTTTGTATATCTTAAAACTTATTGAGTGTCCTACGTAGACGCGAATTCAGTGTCAGAAACATCTGTAATATGCATTTTCGCACAAATGTTGATTAACTGGGATAAGAAACCTGGCCCCGCCATGGAATACTAAAGTATTCTGACAGTACATCACGCGGTTATCGTAACGAACAAGTTCGTAAATAAGAATTAACCATAATATGCAAAGTGGTATTGAAATAAAAGGTCTCGAATCGCATTTTAAATACAAGGAAACCATTAATTTGAACCAAAATGCATATTTAAAAAAAAGGAAATCGGTTTAAACAATATATCACCGAGTTACAATAAATATAAGTAATATATCTCTATTATGGAAATTATATAACCATGTAGTGGCGATGTAAGATTCTGAGAATATCCACTACTCCACATCGTCCTCCTGTCGTAAGAGCAGGAGAGGGAAACTGAAACAGGAGATGGGCAGCGGCATTTTTTTGATAACTCTTATTTAGGAAAAATGCGATCGCCAAACTGCCTGCCAACCGTGAAAACTATGGCGAAATCCCTCCTATGAAACAATTTATGGGGGAAGGCCAGTGTGCAGCAATGGAGTTTATAGGTTGTATCTTGTAATGGATGGTTAGATAGATGGATATTATAATAAAAGTGAGGGTGGAAATGAGCACAATGTCCTTTTGATGGCAGCTGAAATGCTGTGGCCCATAGATACATACAAAATGCAGATGCATTGTCAACCCTGAGGACAAAGATAGAGAATAAAGATATAAATAGGTAGACATAGAAAAGAAAGAATAGAAAGTTTCAAGGATAAAATGGTCTCCGCTGCTCGTCACTAACCATACGAAACACATCAGCGTTAATGGAATTCATTGAATCTCACAAATATAGGTGTAGAAAGAAGAGCATACTGTTACAGATATTTGTCTAATAACGAAAAGAGATTGAATAAAACTATTTTTACTACCCGTGCGGTTAATGAATGGGATTGAAAATGTCGCCTCTATTCACCTTTCGCTTGCACACTGTCGCTATCTCTATTCACACCCACCGGTTAAGACTATAAGAAAATACGTTGCGATATGCGTTTTTCGTACGTTCTTTAACTTCAGTCCAACTTGTCATTGCAGTTAATGATAAAAAAAATATAAACTACAAAAAAAATTCAGTCCGGTTTAGCTAATTTGTGAGTTACGACGCGTTCTGAGAGTTTTCTTCAAAATTATTGTTGATTTTTTGTTATTATTTTTGTATAAAATGTTTAGATGCTATGTGAGTTACCATTTTTAAAATTTTTGTCCGAGCTAATCTTCGGAATGACTACACCGATTGTAATAAAACTAAGTCTAAATAACGCCACATTAATAGATCCCACCCATGCGAAACCAAAGCGGGTCGCTAATTATAAATGTTATTTTTAAATTAATGTACACTTATACACTATATAAAGGTACACTTACCTACACAATTATTTTCAAATATTTTCCCATTAATAGAAAATTTCCAATTCGATCGAATAATATAACGTTATAACGATATACCGTTATTAGCGGGTTTTCGCTATTGGTACTATGGATGTTGACGATACGGGCTCGTTGAGCCGCCATTTCTAATCCCATTCTTTATCCGTACGGACTGTACAAACTTTATCGCGTTTAATTTCCTGTAAAGCACTCGAATCGTCGGGAATTAAAAATAAGAAAATGAAATGCGGTAAATTCTGTAAAAATAGTTTTATTCAATGTGTAGTATTCGTTAAGAAATCATAACGAAAAGAGAGACAAAATGGCTATGTAATTCAGAAAACTTTATATCTCGATTATTCGGAGGATGGATATCGCATATATTGCACTTCCAGTGTTCACTGATTACTTAACTTTAAAATCTATACATAGATATAAAATTCAAGGACTGCCTGTAATATCTAAATAACTACCTTTCATTGTATTGAGCCGAGCTGAGAGCTATTGACACGAATATGCATTTTTAACATTTTTGTTTGTCTTTTCGAACTAATCTTAGGAAAGGCTGAACGGATTGTAATGAATTAACGAACAGATAGAGAGCAATGCCAGCCCGGCTAGCATGGGCGGGGGACAAAAGTTTTATCCCCCGATTATATCCAATGACAAGAGATATAATTATCTTGTTATGTCGAACAGAGAGAAGTATATCACAGAGTACCTTTGTATAAACCGAATATATCCCAGTTTGACATAACGAGTAGACATATATCCCTCGTCCGTAGCATGGAGCCAAATGAAAGATAAAAAATTATGCTTTTTAGACATTTGAAAGGGACAATTTTATCCTAGTTCATTGGAAGTGGGTTGAGGTTTATATTCATACAAAAAATTCTATCTAAGTCTAAGTTTATCTCCCAATTTATCTACTGTGTGATATTATATCCACCGGTGGGTTCATGCTCTAAAGGTGGATAAAACTAAGCGAGGGGATAAACATTTTCTCCTTTCCCTGGGGATAAAATTGTCCCTCGCCCATGCTAGCCGGGCAGGAGTGATCTAAACTATATTTGCCCCGAAAAACTTGCGATTTTTTTGGCGATATCGAAAAATTTATGCAACAAATGATCTTAGATATTGATCTAAATAACGCCTCTTTAATAGATCCTAACCAGGCGAAGCCTTGGCGGGTCGCTAGTAGAAAAGTAATTAATGGCTGTGAGGTATTCCAGTACCTTGGTTCTCAGCAATGGCAATGCATCTGTAACCTTCCTTGTTTGAAGCTGGTTGTACTTGGACTGCAGTGGCCACTTACCGTCAAATGAACAGTTAGTCAACATGCAAATAAGAAGACATTCATTGAATCATCATTACAGCCCGTCACAAGTCCACTTCTGAACATAGGCCATCCAAGGAATGCAACAAAGCACGGCCCTAAGTCTCCTGCATCCTTCAACTTCCTGAAGGGTAAGAGTTACCAGGTCGTCACTCTATCTAGTGGGGGGGGGGGGCTACTTACCGGTACGAGATTGCCACTCGAGAACCTTTATTCAGAGAACAACTATCGGCATAGATGGAAGATGTTAAGCTGAATGATTAAATGATGGTTCACATTTCATCATTCAGTTCGTGGAGGATTATTAATTATCGAATCCCTGTTTTTGTTATGAAGCTCAAGAAAATGAGACAAAGAGAACATAACACCAAATACTTTAATCTTAAAAACGTAACATTTAACTGAAAGAAGGGAGATCACAATGTTTTTTCTTGACGTGGAAACGTAAGGACGTGTTGTACTTTGTCGCAAACGGACACACCTCACATTTGAACTTTTTCTCAACAGAGTGTTTGTACCTGTGTTGTACTAAATTAGCCGGCAAGATTGTCGCGTAGTCGCATTGATCGCAAGTGTATTTCTTCTTGCCGGTCAAATGCGCCTCTTCGTGATATTTCAAGACGTATTTGTTCATTGTTTGGAACGCGCATTGCGAGCACTGCAACTTGACGCCCAATTCCGTATGTTTCCTTTTGTGTTTCACCATCGCGCCCTCGTAGAACGTCTTGTATTTGCAACCGTCGAAGTCGCAGTTTAAAGTTGTGGCGTTTTTGTGCCTTAGGGTGTGTTGAGTCATGCTCGCCCGCATCGACGTTTCAAAGTCGCAGTACTTGCATTGGAGTACCGTTTGCGTGTGCACACTCTTTATGTGCTTTTGAAGCTCGTTCCCTGGCACAATTTCCCCGCATATCTGGCACTGGCTATCACCGACCGTGTGATGATTTTGTTCGTAGTGCAAACGCAGTTCCTCCCAAGTAAAGTACGACTCGGTACACTTCGAACATTGGAAGGACTCTTTGAAATCCATTTCCTCTTTCTTAATCAAAACGACTTCTGTGCTTGGAGGCTCGTCGGGCGGTTTCCCGTGGGCTATACTGATATGTCGACATAACTCCACCTCGTCTGGAAACGTCTCAGTACAGTGTTCGCATTTTTGTGATTGACCATTTTTATTATTTACAGGATGTTGAAACAGGACATGTCGTCTATAACTCTCTTTTGCTTTGAACACTTTCTTGCAATAACGGCAAGTGTATGACACGTTTAAATGCACTTTCATAAAGTGCGGTTTCAGCTGCCTTTTATCGTGAAAACCTTCGTTACACAAGTTGCAGAATACAGTTTTGGGTTCGTCAATTTTGTGGGTACAACGCAAATGTTTAGCCAGTCCGCCTTGGGATGCGAAAATCAATCCGCATATAGAACACTCTTTGATCATTTTAACATGTGTATGATTCAAATACAACTCTCTAGTATCAAACTGTTTATTGCACACTTCACAAAACGAACCCTTGTCATGTTTTCTTCTTACATGTCGCTTTAAGCTTTCGATCTTATCATAGGACAAATTACAAATTCTGCATTTAAGTCTAAAATCTTCCTTTAGCGCATTGTGTTTTCTTCTCATATGCAATTTTAGAAAATTTAACGAAGAAAATACCAGAGGACATTCTTTGCACGTTATCTCGCCAGTCTCTTCATTCTTGCAATTCTCCAACAACTCCTGATCTAAATTCTCCTGTTTCATACCATCGTCTTCTTTCACTCGATGCTTTCTCTGCACGTGTCTCGCATATGTCTCTCGCTTGGTGAAGACTTTAGGGCAGAAGGGGCAGTTGAACCACTGATTGACCACTGGTTTCTTGTTAGTTGAGTGTTTCCTCTGAATGTGGACAACTAAACTCCTATATTTGTCGTACGTAAGACCGCAATCTTTGCAAACATGTTGGAAGGATTCCTCGAACGACCCGTGCTTTCTTCGCATATGCATTCTCAACCTCGCCATGCCTTTGAACACTAGAGCACAAATATCACAAGTCCTCTCTTCTCTGTCATCAGGCATCGAGTTTGGTCCGTGTTTCCTCCTAATATGCGCGATCAAGCTGGTTTTTTGATCGTAGGACATCCCACAGTGATCACAGACATGTTCGAACGCCCGTTGGAAAACTCTGTGAGTTCTCTTTTGGTGAGTTTTCAGAGTTCTTGGCGATTGAAACACTAGATGGCATATTTTACACACATGGTCCGACACCATAGAAGGGGGAGCATTTTGTCCATAACCGAACACTGATTTATCATGAGTCACACTCTCGAATGTTAGTATTACTGCCTCACGATTCTGTTGCTCTAACTTGACTACGGGTTCTTGGCTCTCCTCACTTTGAGGACCTTCCAACATCAGTCCATTATCATTAGCGAACTGAAAAGAAAAAAAATAAACTTGAGTATCTACCAATAAAAACGTATGTACATATTTCAGGATAAAAAAAAAATTTCACACCAAGACTTAGTACTCGGTTTATAATGATGATGTAGATGATGCTTCCTAGCCGATTTTCAATCACGGGAACAACTTTCCAGCAACCGATCGCTGTCAACTGTTATTACAGTATCATAAATGTTTGGGCAACTTTATGTGCTCACTCCTAACTAGAATTAGTTAGAAGTGGTACTCGATGATTCTACAACATAGTAGAGCCATGCTGCAGCTATATTAAATATATAGTTGTAGCGCGAATGGGTCAGCTCGAATGTGGGGAAGGACCACGCTCTCACAGAATACCAGCGTACCATACTCACCATGCGAAACACAGCAGCTCAATGCTGCTGTGGTTCGTATGGTGAGTGTAGAGAACCGGAGACCCTTTTTACTGGAAAAGAGGCATTCCATGTTAGCCCACAGGGTTGACAACGCATCTGCATTTTGACTCGCAAACGAGGATAGATGTAGATGTATATGAGCCACAGTAACCACTTACCATCAGGTGGGTGGACTGTATTCGCTTGTCAGCCTTAACCTATAAAAAATATGTATTACTTGAGCAGTAAGAAAGATCAAAGAAAACTACCACCGTAATCAAAATCCGGTTAGAAGTTTCTACAATATTCATTCAGCATATTTGACATACCTATCGCTGTCGAAAATGTGTGTTTTTTTTTTCATATAATAGTGACAAGCGAATTATCAGCTTATATAATAGTAAAGAGCTACTCCAACCCATGAACACCTGACCAATTGCGTACAAAAAGAAGACCACAAATGCTGTATCACCTGAAGACAAGAAAGGAGCCCTACGCTTAAGGTGATAAGAGGTATATAATTGGTTAACACACTCAGACCAAAGAAGGATAGACAGACAGTGTAATTTTCAAGCGATGCATGGTTTCGGCATACTAACTTCTTGATACGTGCTCACACACACATCTTCCTTCTTTCTTTCTTATCATCAGCCCGTAAAATTTCACTGCTGAACGCACACATATGCAACTAAAAAAAAATGTATACGTTGTTTTTGGTTTGGTTTTTGTGTTACTTGAAATATATGCAGCACTCTGTCTTTCTTTCTGTTGATCTGAGCTCATATAGTAGAGTACATGAACAAACATCTACATCCTGAACTGTATTATAATATGTAATACAATTAAACATGAAACAGCATGGTAGCGATCACCTCTGGAACTTGATTATAAAATCGTACAAATTGCTCCATGTAGGAAATGCTGCTTCTTTGTAGTAGAGTATCTGATGTAACTAGCTTGTATCTGCTCCAAGTATTTACAGAATGTACATCACTATTTTTATTAAAACTATTTTTATTTTTTTGCACATACTATAAATTTACATAAATATACTGAGGTCAAAGTTACTATATTTATTTCCTTAATTTTTTTTCTTCAAGGGTCTCCTTCAAGCTTAGGTTATAAATTACTCTTATAGCTCCTCTTCTGCAAAACAAATATAGTTTCAATGCATTATCCAATACTCATTTATCTATGGAAATAACTAAAACAAACTAATCTAGCTGTTTATAAACATGTAAGTATTCTATTCTTTTTTTTACAGCATAAGAACAGAACTATATTTGCTAGCTAGTTTAGATATATGGGGACCATATTGAAGGTTCTTGTTAACTGTAATTCCGAGAACAGCGGATTCAACAAAACTCAACTCCTCCCCATCTTAATACACACTGGTGATGACCTCTGTTTAACATTTAATACATTGTTTCATTACGTCATGCTAGACGTCACGTCAGTTTCATAAAAGTGAGTACGTAATAAATATTAATAATCGTTACATTCTGGTCCACGAAAGTACATAAAGGATTATCAGTTTGATAGTCAGTTACTTAAACCGATTACGTTGAATACCGCCTACTACGACACCGCTTACTTACATCTCCTGATTTTGTGACTTTTTTCAATTATAATAATGGCGTCTACAAGTGAAGACGACGTTAAGATCTTTATATCTATGTTTGTCACCAAAAATAAATGGCTTCCAAGATATCTGGCTAGCAAGCAATCATCTTCAGACAAATATTAATACTGCTAGAGAATTATCAAGATGGCCAGAAAATCTCATACTTTGTCTGGGCGACAAAACAAAATTAATTTAGTAGTTACAGACTATATTGTTATCGTATAGGGCTCAAAAGTATTTTTACGGATTTTATCACGTTTAATTTTATTTAATGTTGCTCGTTGAAAAATAAGAAATAATTACAGATAAAGCTCAACCCAGGAAGGAACTCTCCATAATGGAAAAGCTTAAAATTAAAAGTTAAATTACAGCTTTTGTACAAAGCACGGGCCTTTCATTTTTGAGAGAGCTAAGGAGCAATTACTTTGCCGCGTCGTTCCCATACATGTTGTATAATTATTTAGACACTAGCTTTTGCCCACGACTTCGTCCGCGTAGATATTATATTTTAAGCCACAGGTGATCCATCAATAATAGCACTTTCATAGTAAATTTAAAAATTCCATTACCCTCTTTAGGGATGATATTTCCTTCCCCGGGACTTAGATCTCAATACCAAATTTCATCTAAATCGGTTCAGCGGTAACGGTTAAGCGTGAAGAGGTACATTTGCTCTGCATCTACTTTGAGAAGCGATTAAAGCATTTATTTTAATAAAATCAATTTGTAACTACAAAATGTGCATTTAAACTAAAGTATCAAATTTTACTGTATTTATGGTTCACTATTTTGGTAATTATAGCATACACATAAAAGATAGATATATACCGTCGCGGACTTTTTTGTAGAACTATTTAGGAAAACCATTCCACCATACATTATATTTGTGTAATTCTTACAGTTTTTGCACCGCACGCCAAAATAGCTCGCAGATGACTGATTTTTCCGACTTACTTAACACTTATCATTATATTTTGACCAATTTACACAATATCTTTATTAATTATAGCCTATGTGTTGTTCTGATGTGTGAGCTATATTATTGTAAAGTTTCAATAAAATACATTCTACTTATCGTTATATTTTGACCAATTTACACAATATCTTTATTAATTATAGCCTATGTGTTGTTCTGATGTGTGAGCTATATTATTGTAAAGTTTCATTAAAATACATTCTACTTATCGTTATATTTTGACCAATTTACACAATATCTTTATTAATTATAGCCTATGTGTTGTTCTGATGTGTGAGCTATATTATTGTAAAGTTTCATTAAAATACATTCCACTTATCGTTATATTTTGACCAATTTACACAATATCTTTATTAATTATAGCCTATGTGTTGTTCTGATGTGTGAGCTATATTATTGTAAAGTTTCATTAAAATACATTCTACTTATCGTTATATTTTGACCAATTTACACAATATCTTTATTAATTATAGCCTATGTGTTGTTCTGATGTGTGAGCTATATTATTGTAAAGTTTCAATAAAATACATTCTACTTATCGTTATATTTTGACCAATTTACACAATATCTTTATTAATTATAGCCTATGTGTTGTTCTGATGTGTGAGCTATATTATTGTAAAGTTTCATTAAAATACATTCTACTTATCGTTATATTTTGACCAATTTACACAATATCTTTATTAATTATAGCCTATGTGTTGTTCTGATGTGTGAGCTATATTATTGTAAAGTTTCATTAAAATACATTCTACTTATCGTTATATTTTGACCAATTTACACAATATCTTTATTAATTATAGCCTATGTGTTGTTCTGATGTGTGAGCTATATTATTGTAAAGTTTCAATAAAATACATTCTACTTATCGTTATATTTTGACCAATTTACACAATATCTTTATTAATTATAGCCTATGTGTTGTTCTGATGTGTGAGCTATATTATTGTAAAGTTTCATTAAAATACATTCTACTTATCGTTATATTTTGACCAATTTACACAATATCTTTATTAATTATAGCCTATGTGTTGTTCTGATGTGTGAGCTATATTATTGTAAAGTTTCATTAAAATACATTCTACTTATCGTTATATTTTGACCAATTTACACAATATCTTTATTAATCATAGCCTATGTGTTGTTCTGATGTGTGAGCTATATTATTGTAAAGTTTCATTAAAATACATTCTACTTATCGTTATATTTTGACCAATTTACACAATATCTTTATTAATTATAGCCTATGTGTTGTTCTGATGTGTGAGCTATATTATTGTAGTTTCATTAAAATACATTCTACTTATCGTTATATTTTGACCAATTTACACAATATCTTTATTAATTATAGCCTATGTGTTGTTCTGATGTGTGAGCTATATTATTGTAAAGTTTCATTAAAATACATTCTACTTATCGTTATATTTTGACCAATTTACACAATATCTTTATTAATTATAGCCTATGTGTTGTTCTGATGTGTGAGCTATATTATTGTAAAGTTTCATTAAAATACATTCTACTTATCGTTATATTTTGACCAATTTACACAATATCTTTATTAATTATAGCCTATGTGTTGTTCTGATGTGGAAGCTATATTATTGTAAAGTTTCATTAAAATGCATTCTGTAGTTTTTGCGTAGAAGAGAAACAAACATCCATACATCCACACAAACTTTCACGTTTATAATATTATATTGTAATATTATAGTAGGATAAAGGGTCTCTCAAGATTTTTTCCTTCATCGCTGAGCACTTGATTTATTGTACGCCTCATAACGCGACGCGTTATTAGGTAATGCTTTACTCTCGACACGTCAAGATCAAGCAATTTAGTGTTCTTAAAATGCGTCTATCATAACCATATTACACTTATACATTAATAATAGACCCTTTTTACTAGAACCGAGGCATTCCATCTTAGTCCTCACGGGTGACGACGCATCTGCATTTTGATTTGTAATCGAGGATAGATGTAGATGTCTATGGGCCACAGCAACCACTTACCATCAGGTGG